CACACTTAGCCATTTTATCTACCTCGGGAACAAGCTAAACTAGTTATAAATATATTTATTCTTCACTGTCGGGTCACTCATTACTGGATCAGTGAGCTACATGAGATACTGACAGGCTGTCAGGAGGGGGAGAGAGGAAAAGAGCGCTTCCGCTCATTTCTCCCGTGTTATTATCCAAAGTTAATGTAAACTTGAATAATGTACTTCATTTGAATGTAATAATTATGTTGGTTTTTTGTGGAAGCGCCAGTGAATGAGCTCCATTAACTGAGTTTTAAACATCACTTTAAATGGAAGATCCCCATAGGCCCCGCCCACTCGATCGGTTCGTTATCGGCCGATACTGATTCCGGCGAACGGCCCCAAAATTGGTGATCGGAGCATCCCTAATTCTAACATCCTCTTTTGTATTTTCCTGCTTTCCCTAGCTGCTGAACAAATTTGGCATGGACCAGGTGTACGAGGGCCAGGTGGAGGTAACGGGAGACGAGTTCAACGTAGAGAGCATTGACGGAAAGCCGGGTGCCTTCACATGTTACCTGGATGCAGGCCTCGCCAGAACCACCACAGGAAACAAGGTGTTCGGAGCACTGAAGGGGGGAGTCGACGGAGGGCTGGCCATTCCTCACAGGTCAGTACTTTATGGGAAATTACAAAAGCAACCTCCTATAAGCATTTTATTGTAGGTTATTTTTTCCCTTTTTGCTACTTCAGCTCTTAACTAGATGTACCCCTTTTTTAAGCAAGTCTTGAAGGTGCGCAAAGAGCATCAAATAAAGATCTGCAGCAACCACTATGAAGCGCGCCCAAATGATTGTAGTGATAGGAGATAATGAATAGACTTTTAAGGGCCAAAATATTTGTTCGATATTATATGAAATGAAAATATTTGTTCGATATTATTCCATTAATAAAACTTGCTTATCAAATAAACATCACTTCTAATTTCCACTGTGGTTGGTGACAGGTCCAGTTGGTGGCTATTGGTTCTTCTCTGCTTCTTGATGATGTTACAAATCTCACTGAGCAAAATGTAGTTGGTCCTTCATATGCACGAGCTGATGTTTACTGTCCTTTCAAGACGGGGCTGAGAGAAGCGAGACGAACCACAGCCAACATCTGTCTGTCATCAATTGGCAGAGGGTGTTAGAAGAATAAACAATATAACAAGAGACCTGAAGAAGAACATACCAAATGGAAAGTGTAAATGTTGAATAGTCCTACTCTTTCACTAAAAATAACGTGATCTCTGCTCTCCCTTGTTTCCAGTCTAAAGCGTTTCCCCGGTTACGACACGGAGACCAAAGAGTTTGACGCAGAGGTGCATCGGAGACACATCATGGGCATGAACGTGGCCGACTACATGTCTTACCTGATGGAGGAGGACGAAGACGCCTACAAGAAACAATTCTCTCGCTTCATCAAGAGCGGAGTCACGCCAGACACAGTAAGATGGAGGCTCGCTACACACAATATAGACGACACATAACATAGCTACACAGGCAAGCACAATGATTATTCCTAAAAGGAAATTCTCTTACTTTATGTGAAGGCACTTTATATATGAAATCGCCCAAAAATATGACAATACCATATATGTAATTTAAAAAAAACGGATTTAAATATAGTTTGAATAAGGACGTTTTATACAACTTGGTACCTCATTTTGGCCATATTCTTTACCCACAATACCATCCCTAAAAATAACAACCTTAGTAAAAAAGGTGAGTAAATATGGGAATGTGATTGGTTCAAAGGTAGCCTACTTGTAGCCATGTTTTTTGTTTATGCATAAACAGGAACAATTGTAATATTAATTGACACACAGTTTGCTCAATAAGAAATTAACAAAAAAATGCCCAATTACATTATTTGTCCACCAGAGAACAGTCAAGGGTTTACTTTAAAACTAAAATATGGAGTTAAAGGGAGCCATACTGAAAATGTTTCGGATTTCAGTATCTCAAGATCATAGCAACAGTTAAGGTGACCGCTGTAGACCCACACTACACACTCTGAATGTGCTCAACACGTCTCTTTGCACAATTGCATCAGCTGTAGCATGGCTACATACATATTTTCAGTGATTTGACTTCTGTTTGCTGGTTCTCTGCTTCTTGATGATGTTACAAATCTCACTGAGCAAAATGTAGTTGGTCCTTCATATGCACTAGCTGATGTTTACTGTCCTTTCAAGACGGGGCTGAGAGAAGCGAGACGAACCATCATGCACAAAGTCTAATTTCGATCTAGAAATCGTATATTAACACTCGTCTCCTTGTTTCTGTTCTTTTCAGGTCAAAGAAATGTACGAAAAAGCGCACGCCGGCATCAGAGCAAACCCCGTCTTCGAAAAGAAACCCCTAAAAGACGTCAAGAAGAAGAGGTGGGTTCTTATTTCCATCTGTTACTTGCTATTTTCGTCTTTAATGATGCTGTTACACAGGAGACAAATTAGAAGGTGCATTTCCTCTGTCTTTGAGCTAGATCCACCATACAACCTTTAAAGAACCTGTCCCATTACTGCTACCCTCAGAAAAACCCTGTCTAAGTATTGCCTTTCTTAGGCTTCCCGCAGGGTCTTAAAATCTTACATTTGATAATCAGAATTTAAGGCCTTAAACAGTCTTAAATATGATCAAAAAAATTAAATATGATTTAGAAGGTCTTAAAAATGATCGGATTTGAAAGGTACTTCTGTGTTGGGAATGTGTTTTGGGGGAAATGTCCGGGCTGCAAAGTAACCAGTACGGCAATAGCCTTTCAGTTCCCCCCAACAATTTGTATTGAAATAAATCAACATGGAACCAGTAATCACTAACTTTGTTACCCCTGGCCCCTTATCGGAGAACACCCAGCTAGTAACCTAGCAACCGAGCTTCAGCTAGCGGCAGTCAGAAACTCCGGTATCTTCTAATCTACTTACAAATAAATATGGGGATGTGTAAGTTCAACCGTATTTGGTTGAAAAACATCGAATTTAGTGCTTGGTTGAAACCAGTGGAGGGGAATGCGTACACACAGACACACATACACACTTTGTGTCTAACACAGTTCTTTGTACGGTTATGCTCTTATGTTCAGTCATCGTTCTTATGTTAAACATGAATACATTTACTTTGTAAGTAATTATGGGACGTATCTCTTCTTTCATAGCAATTTTCCTTCATACTTTCTTGCCGTGAAATAGGTCCTAAATTCTATTCAAAGTGGTCTTAAAAAGTCTTACATTTGAGTTGTTGAAAGCTCCAGGAACCCTGCTTTCTGTGCTGGGGAGCGCCCAGTGCTGAACGGACAAACACTTCTCTCTGCTGAGCTGAATGTTAATGGGGCTCTTGTTGTGTTTTGTTTCCGGCAGGTGGAATCGCGCCAAGTTATCTCTGGCACAGAGGAAGGACCGCGTCGCCCAGAAAAAGGCCAGCTTCTTACGAGCGCAAGAGCAAGAAGAAGGGGACGGTTAGGAGCCCCGCTGAAAAAACTCCACACAAATCACAGACAAATACATTTATTGCAAACTCAAGTTCTTGTCTTTGGCAATTATTTTTTCAATGAGTCATGTGTGTGTTGAGTGGTTGTTTGTACTTTTTAATAGGGCTTTCTTTGCCCTTGACTGTTTAAACTACACCCATGAATAATATATATAATATATTTACAGTAATTATCTTGAATCTATTCATGGGACTCACCCAAAGGTTCTTCAACTTCCAATTCAAGGACTATACAGGCTCCAATTCAAGCACCAAACAGCATATGTTTAGACATGGAACAATATAAGTTAGTTACCGTTACCACATTGCATTTTCTATAAGGAGAACTATCAGGCTTTACGGAAGCTCAAAGGTGACAGTTAAAAATGGGAAGCTTGAATTGGGATTTAAGAAATGTAAATCCTTTCCATCAGAGCTTAATTGACTATATCAGACTAAAGGAGTTAAAGAGCTAGAACTTAGGTTTCTCTTGTTAAAAAATATATTGTATGGAAACCATGCTCAAAGTGTAACAACTCAGTGCAGTTTAAAGATGCCCTGAAGTACTGACAACATTTCTGTGTTGGAATTCAACCGACACTGGAATGGAGAGATTGAGATTTAAGAAACATTTGGATTGATCTCTTTTTTCCCATAGCTCTATATGGTTTAAATGCCCATAATGAACTGCTTGTAAAACAGCAATGCATTACATGTAAGGTTATGTAGAACTAGTGTATGCATTATCTTCAAATGTCTCATTCCACAGGCCTATTAATAGACTATTAAACACCTGAACTCTGTAAAGAACATTCATCTGTTTGCATCTTGCAAATAATTGATCTATATCATATTCCATTTACTTGTGTATAGACTCTTCTTGCACTATTTCTATTTTATTTGTATTTACTTGCACATCTCAAACAATTCTCTTGCACTGTTGGAGGAGCCTGTGACTTAAGTTTTGATTGCCATATCTGCACTGTAGCTAATGTGCACATGACAATGCCTTGAATCGTTATCAATTAAAGCCAGCAGATACATGTAGTTTAGTATATACAACAATTATTGCCCACAAAAAATGTGTGAAGTGAATTCTCACAAAAGTGGAAGTAGTTGAGTTGGGTACATTCGAAAGGAGACTTATTCTCATTTTCATATCAGTATGTTGTATGCTTTAATGTTTAGAAAGCTCTTTATTTTTCTCATTTGTGCTGCAGCACCTCTTTTCACCCTCTGTCTGAAACCAGAGCCCAATCTGCTCTGATTGGTTAGCTGGCCGGCTCTGTTGTGATTGGTCAACCGCTTAGACATGTCTGGCCCCTTATCACCATGTTATAGAAGTGAATAAAGGAGTCAAATGGAGGGTTTTCAGAGAGGGGGGAGTGTGTAAGAGAAACTCCCTCTGGAGGGAACACAGAGATTTGAGCCTCTGCAGGCCATTTACATGCACTAAAACCTACTGTATATAATACAGGAGAAGGAAAACCCCCCAAAAGTAGGATAGGCCTCTTGAAGTAAAAAACGGTCACAGTGAAGTGGTATGTAGTTTAATTGTGCAAATCATGCTGGTCTCTTCAATAAGTCAACTTTTTTTTTACATTTTCAAAATTCAAACAGCAGCGTTGACCACAAGCTCGACATGCTACAGGTCATGTCTGTATTTAAAGTGGTTACACAAGCCAGGATGTTGAGTCGGTCTCAGCAGCTTCACAACTTCCAGAAGGGATCATGAAAAATCCTCTTTGTACAGCATTCAGATGTGACCACACGTTGATAAAGATCTCCATCACAGGTGGCAAACATTCGTGAATGAGTCAAAAAACCCAAAAATGTGATACAGCACAATACTACAAATGCTCTTTGTAGTGAGAAATACAAGTAGATAACATTCACAAATGAAATACATTAATATTCCTTGTCATTGATTCAGCTTTGACAATGTCACTAGTGTTACAGGTGAGAAATGTACAGCAGTGAAATGCACTGACATACAGAATGTTGTCGTGGAATACTGACAGACATATCCTTCAAGTTTTCCACTTTGAATGTAATAAACGGCCTTATGCAGATGAGTGACAATTAGGAAAAGCTTCAATGCTTCTTGGCATAGACGGTCTTCTTCTCTGTACCCTGTATAAAGACATGTCCTTTGTTTCATTTTGCTACAAATCTTTTCATTTTTCCCTTAAATTGTCACTTATCTGTAGGCTACGTGTTAAAGATGAAGTCTTGTGATATTCTATATTTTAATTATTGTAAAGACAACCCCTGAAAACCAGCAGTTCACCATTCTGTACAATCTTTGTAGCCAAGTCTAAAGTGGAAGTCTTAAATAGTTGAGCAGGGTGACCTTCATTTTCGTTCCTTCATTTGAATGAACTTGGGTTTCATTTTGGTCGATGCCACACACTGTCGTGCTGCCTTCAATACTCACTAATGCACCACATTTGAATTAATCAGCAGCTTAGTCTGTACAAGAAAAACAAAATCACTTTCTTTTAACAAGCTGTTTATAAAGATGTATACTCTAAGTCGTACTCTAAGACAGCGTAGTACTAAAAAATAAACCTTTGTTTGGTCTTTTCACAGAATTTTCTGTAAAACGAAAATATGGAATATCACCAGCCTTATCTTAACCTTAGGTACACTCCCTGATTATGCTATAGTGCTCAAAAGCAACTTTAAAGGAGACATATCATGCTCATTTTCAGGCTCTTACTTGTTTTATGGGTTGTAATCGATAATCTTTTCATGCTTCAATGTTCAACAAACACATTATTTTTCTCATTCTGTCACTCAAAATAACTATTCAGTGTCTGTCCAAAACAGTCCGTTTGAGCGCCTGTCTCTTTAAGACCTCGTCTTGAAAAAGCCAAGTCTGCTTTAATTGGCTTGCGAAAAGAATATGGCGCAACTTTGCAAAGGTACTTGTAAAGCTGACTTGTTGAGTCACATGTTTTTTAATGAAGGAAACTAACTGGGTTATCTTATTTCTCAGTTTGTGCGGAGGTAGGCTTTCCTGATATGGACTGTAAGTGCAGAAGCAATAGGAAAGTGAGATGTTCATGATATGTCCCATTCAACATAACAAAGTCAAGGAGCCTATCTTATAATAGTGTCATTACACTTCCAACTGGGGCTTTGTACAACACCGTGATTTGAAATCCTTCTCAGGCCATACATACCTGCATGATTTAGTGGCAAAAACAGCAATTTTGTCTCTCAGCGCGAGACGTTTCATTTTTCCAGCAGTGCCCCCAAAAACATTCCACTGTGGTGAACAATACAATACAATATAGTGTTTTAAGTATGACTGATGGTAACATGCAAACATTCAGTCGAGTTTAGTATTTCAAAGTTCTTAGCCTTGTTTTCCAGGCCCGAACCTCTGACGCTCAGACTGATGGAGGTAGAGTCTCCATCAGTCCGACCGTTCAAGAGTGTATAGAGTAAATCAAAACTACTTCATTAAATGTGCTATTCCTAAATCACAGCATCTTTAATACTCCGTGTGAGGAACCGACTTCAGGTGACTTCCCGTCCTCGTCACGAGTCCTTGGTGTGCGAGATCTGTCTCCACAGCAGAGCCTTCAGGTTGTTGAGAATAAGGGAGTGCTCCATGTTCATTTGTCCAGCATTACTACCTTTGAGAGCCATGCAGGAGTACAACTGCCTCTCCAGCTCCTCCCTCATCCCTGAGGGCGCCCCCCGCAGGAGGTAGTCCTTCAGTGTGCCGCACGCCTTCGCCAGGTTGGGCTGAACTGGCTCCTCCTTGCATCGTTTCTCCGACAAATCACACAAGGTCTTGCAGTCCACCCCGTACACACAGTCAGCGTCCGTCTCGCACTTCAGCGCCCGCATGGTGCGCTTGAACTCGTCCTCAGACACCACCGCCCGGGCGTCAGTCAGACGGAGCTCGTGTCGGTCGGTATAACCAAAGTGCGCCGCGGCGAGATCACAGATCAGAAAGCTGCCGTAGGTGCCGTGGAAGAGGTCCTCCACCAGCTCCAGGAGGCCCATGGAGATCTTGGCTTTGCGAGGCCATGAGGGGGTGAACCACTGGTCCATGGAGCGCTGCATGCTGCTGGGGACCCAGGACACCAGGGGCCATGGGAGAGACAAACCGTACAGGGGCCCGTAGTGGACGCGCTCCGTCATGTACAGATCCCCGCAGAAGCCCAGGAGGCGAGGAGTGTGACCGCGGTCCTGCAGCAGGAGGCCCAGCAGCACCTGGAAACAAGGCAGGAATGGGTCTCACTGAAGAGCTAGAATCATTGTTTGTTTACAGATCGAGGAAAGTAAGACTAAATACTTTTTTATTGAAATTAAATGTAAGATCAAGTTCACGATAACTCATTATCTTGGATTCCACTACCTTGATTCTCATCGTGCCAACTTCAAAAACACTTTGCACTAAATACAGGTTTAAGCCATGCCTTTGAATACTGGTACATTCATTTGAATTTGCACTTTCCCATTTGCACATTCAGTCGTGTGGTGATGTTTGAAGTGAGGCAATGACCATTAATGGTAAAGGTTACGAGAGGTCATTGGGAAGCAAGTTTGCGAGTGTTTTTGCTAAATGAGAATTACAGTCTAGATACGACCCTTCCCCATTTCGCCGTAACTAGCAGACGAGGACCATCATACATAAAGCTGTGTGAGGCTTTCTGTAAATTGTGTTAAAAGAAAGAAGATACCAATTATTTGGAAGATTTTTTAAATTGCATGTCGGATAAAAAAACGAAATGCTACCTACCATATCTCAGCATGTTGACTTTTGAAAGATTTATTGCAGACTTGTTAAAACATTAATTTCAATATTTTTCAAAGATCCACCAAAACATTGACATGCTGAGAAATCGTATACAAAAACACCATATTTTGTGCCACAGATAACAGTTGCTAACTTCAGAGGCTTCTTATTCTACCTCATCCATCTGCAAGAGGGCCCACGCAGAGCGGGCTTCTGGTAGTGACACCCGTCCATCTTTGTTGCCGTCGGCGACAGTGAGGATCTGGCTGACGAGGCTGGCGAGGTTAGTCTGCTCTCCGAGCTTGGACTGGTGGAAAGAGAGGGGCGGAAACTTAGGGGGGTCGTCCCGTCACACTAGAATATTTGGTTCTATACGAAAGACCTTTACCTTGAGGTGATTAAAGACCATCTCTCTGAACTTCTCCACTGAGGTGCCTCTGGTGGGCTTGTCGAACACGGGGGTTTCTCTCCGGGGCTCCGGCTCCTCGCCCAGCTCTAAGTGCACAACCTCCCCCAGCTTACAGCGGATGATCCCATCGTGGTCCCCCCAGCTTCCTGTGTACACCTGGAGAACATTTAGCCACATAGTAAACAAGCTGAAACATCTCGAGAAGTAGAGTTACAACTTAGTTTCCTAATTTAGTTTCCTACCTGGTTATTAGCCAGCGTTGACAGACACCTGCTCAGGTAGAGAGTGTCTTTGTCACACAGGCTGCTGCATGCAGACCCATCGATTATCCCCTTCTTGTATTTATCACACTTGGAGAAAAAGAGAAAATGTTATCATCGTGCATGTCTGATAATCAGAGAGCAGGATTATTTAATTTCTCCATCTTATCAAAACACAAGATAAGGAGTATTCACAAAATGTTTTAGTTGCCACACACAGAAGCCAGATAAATGCATGGGGTTGGCCTTTAAACATCCTCGACCTCGGACTAGGTGTTCCTTGCAGTGGTAATTGCAAAATAAAAGCCCATTACAAAATCATCGATATAACAGGGTGGAAACAAACAAAGCCATTACTCACGATGGCATTCTTGCACTCGTGTCCTCTGCACAGCTCTGTGTACGCTGAGTACTGCACATAGAGCACCCAGCTGCCCACCAGCACCGCCAGCCAGGTCAGGAACAGATACTTCACCCGCACGAAGGAGATCCGAGCCTGCGGAGGGGGGGCACAAACAGAAACTAGAATTAAATAAAGAGCCTGATTTACAGTCAAGATGAGATTAGTCCAACAATGTATATAATAATGTTCAGCCTGCTGTGCAATCCTGAAAAGATCTAGTCATTTTTCAATGTGCATTGATCTATGTATCCAGACGGAGATGCACTGCATGTATTATCATGTTGGAGAAACGTAATGCCAAAAGGGATATTGCTTCAAACCGTGACCTGGAATAAGGGGAAAAAAATAGGACACTATTTATTTCTGTATTTCTAGAGTTCATTAGAATTGTTGCGGGTGAAGTCAAATTTTCAGTAAATGCAGTTGGCACTTTGATTACGTCTCAAAAATGTGACCTTGATCTTCACATGAAAAATGTGTTGTTGCAAATGCAAAACATTTATTCTCCTCTTTGATTCATTTTTTATCATGCCTTGGTCTTTGTTAAACCCGTTCGTTTTTCCTGGGGGCTACACACAAATACTCAAGCACACATAACACACTTTCCACATAAACACAACAAACATAAGGAACACAAAAACACATCACATGTCATTAACAGTTAATGACATCTTTAACATCATTAAGCACATTATGCTTTTTTGATGTGTTATATAGGTTTTTGTGCATGTAAATTGTCCTCATAGGCAAAAATCCCTTTAGGATTTCTCACCCCCCCTGCCTGAAACGCCTCCATTGGACCCCTTTGTTTTCTTCAGTAACATAGTGCCATCACTATGAAACACATTGTACGTGATACTCTAAGGGGCGGGACATCTCTAAGCAGTTGACTTATCACAACAGAGCCGGTCAGCTAACCAATCAGAGCAGACTGGTCTCTGGTTTCAGACAGAGGGTGGAAAGAGGTGCTGCAGCACAGGCAGTATGAGACAAATAAAGAGCTTTTTGAACTTTAAAGCATGGAGACATGTCCCAGTAGAGACACTAAATACAGATTTGAACCTGAAAATGAGCATAAAATGGCCCCTTTTTAGGAAAAAAACAACTAAATGTATCCCCTTTTGCCTGGGCCTTAAACTCTTCTGTAAATAATAGGTTACCACGGTGACATCATGGGGTTATCCCATAACGAGTCACTGGGTGTTTCTCAATCTCGAGTAAAGCTGCTCCAGAGCCACTATTTCAAGCATACTACGAAATAGTATGCATCGAGTGCCGCCGAAGGACTGTTCCAATGTCCAGCATACTTGGAAATCTACCGAGCCCGGCGTACTTCGTTTGGAGAAATTTCGAGGCTGCACATGTGTAGACTCCGCGGTCTTAAAATCCCCACAATGCTTTGCGCACGGACCAATTTCCCCAAATCTGTGGCGGAAAATGTAAGGCGGGGCCTCTCATATGACGCACACTTGCTCGCCTGTTCCACTCTTCGTTTTCCGAATGCCAGGAAGTATTCTTGCCTCGCTTCTGAAGCAAGACGCTCGGAAGACATGTGCTACCAAGCAAGCGTACTCGACATTGAGAAACACCCACTGGCTGGCTGATAGGTGGTCATATGCAACAATAGCACATTAAGCTGGTACATTCTTTGGAGGTGCTAATTCAGTTGCTACAGTGTCACATGCCTTTCTAGTTATGCCTCTTAATGGAATTAATGTAATTACTGCCCGTGTCTCAGGATGCACACATGATCACATGTCCCACAGTATGTCTGCAGACAGAGATGCTTCTAATTCAGTGCGGTATGTGATTTATTTTCCACAGTTATAAAGCACAGGCATGCAGTGAAAAAAACATAGACTTATTTACACTTTGGAAAAAGTGACAACAGAAATCTGAATATTTACAGAACACAATTAAAAAACAGAACAAGACATACACAGATAAGAGCTGCATTCAATGTGCATTTACTGGAATTTTATAATTGAATACCAAAAGTATTGTTTTTAAGTACTACTTTTTAGTACGAATTCCGTTGTTTGACAAATCCCAATGATAATTTGATCAGAAAGTGTCGACTGCAACGTAAGCAAGTAAAAAGAAATAGAAGAAGGAATGTTGTTGGAAGGAGCAGTGAAGAAGAATGTGGGTCAGATTTGCTGTGTCAGCCACAGTCTTAGACTTTTACTTAAAACTGAACTGCAGAGAGCTTTTCTCCGAGGACTGTAACTGCACTTGGGAGGATAAAGTCATTTGATTCTCGCTCTGATCACACGGCAGGAACAGCTTATGTTCTGTATATGTTGGCAGCCTGCTGTTCCACTCACTTCAGACCAAGCACAGTTTCCAAATCTCAACGAAATGTGGCCCAGTGACGCAGGGAACAAGTACAAGCCTTTCTTTTTGTAATCTTGGATGTGCTGTGATTACTGCGCTTGGTAAACAGCTCTGATGTGGACAGATCTGGTTTTCTGATATATGTGCAACTTCAAATCCAAATCCAAATATTAAAGTGACAGAGACATATTCAGACATTCTATGTACCGTCATCGATTATTTGACCATTGTGAAGTTCTTGTTGGTTTGAAACTTTAGGAAAAAACATATCATAGAATTTGTCCAGAACAAATTTGGAACACATACCCAGGTTTAGGGAGCAACGGATTACATATAATGGGATTACGCAAACATGATACAAAAAAAAAGGTAACTGTATTCCCCTACAGTTACATAAAAAAAGACGTAAACATATACTGTCATTATCTAAGGAGTCTACATCTAATTTCTCTGCTGTCTGCTGTTGTCTTAGATAATACAATTATGTTTTCTCTTGTATTTATTTGCATTCCATTTGATATAGGTAATCCAAAAGTAACTTAAAGTTGACCTATCATGCTATATTTGAATAATATATCGTAGGGCCATACCTATATAAAACATGTCTGTGAAGTTTTTATTTCAAAATACCAAACAGATCATGCATTTTAGCCATGCCTCATTTCACTCTATTTGCTCTTTTCCAGCCCTGTTTTTGCAAGGGCTGATTCTGTGAGAAGTCTTCTTCGCTGCTTTTGTGGCAGACTACAGCACCACTTAGAGGCCTGGCATATGTACTACAGCATCTCCAGCGCTTTCGAGCGGCAATGGCCGTGGCCCAACCCCCCATTCCCCTGATAGGTGGAGAGTTGCCCAGCGGAGCTCCCTGTTTCTGACATCAGAACAATTTCAAATCTGTATCAGCTCCGTTGCAGCCCCGTTTTTAGAGATTTGGGTATGGAGGAAAAGAGAGAGGGTTGCGTTTTCTGACACTTGGTGAGTTCCCTGACACACCGGGGACACATATTCATGTATAAAAGACGTACAAAAGTGCATTTTGCATGATAGGTCCCCTTTAACCTGTTAAGCCCGAGAGACCCCGGTACCGGGGCACTGCCGCAACATCTTGCAGGAAACAGTGTCTGAGGGCATGTTCATTTAATAAAACTATGAATGTTTTATATCCATGTAACGGGAAGAAACTCATCTAACTGATCATTTTCTTTTCTTTTTTCAAAAGAAAACCCACAATGCTAACACTGAGCCTCTGAATTAGCAACGAGCGAAAAATGCTAACATCTTACTGCACCGAAAATCACTCACAAAACCTTATTATTTATCTTTTCACCACATCCAACACATCGTTTCACATCGTGAGGTGACACAGAATCGATTGACACCGACATTATCACTGAATTATACGTATTTGCGACGTTATAAGCAAAAACGGACATCAAAACAGGTGACGCTAGGTAGCTAAAAATGCTAACATTTTTACCTTGGCTCTGTAGTCTCTCCAAAATGGTCTTCAATGGCATTAAAACGATAAAAACGCTGCTGAAGTTAATCCATAGGTTAATCCAATGTGTCTGTGTCCCTTTGAAATGATTTCTGATAATCCATAAGCATTAAAACTGCTTTTCCGTTTCCAGATGTCAAAGCTAGAGATAAGTTCACTCTGATGGAAAATTACATGCGCGAAGCCCCCACCTTTTCTCTTCACAATGAGTGTGTGTGGGGGACTCCCCCTTCGATTCTATTGGCTCTAACGGTCAGAAAGAGGTGTCAACCATCAAAATCGAGCAAGGGGGGCCAGAGATATGGAAAATCCACCCAAATGACCCCAGAAGTGGTTTCTTTTTGATAAATCTCTCTAAAAAGGTCAAATGTCACTTGTTTTGCATCAATCTTGACACAGGGTACTTATATGTTGTACTTTGGATTCCTAAAGCTTTTAGTCTACCTTACCATCATCCAAGGGTGGTTTTCACTATAAGTAAAAAAGGATTTTTGGACAGACACTATAATTTACAGTTTTTTACTATGTAAAATCTGAATTTTCTTTAAAATAAAAAACATCTATATTGTTTCTGACTTTTCTACATCCAACTCACAGGTTTATCATTACTTTGAGAAAAAAGATTATTAATTTAACCCTTTTAGAAGGGAAGATATGGTCATTTGTTCTGGGAATGTCATTTTCGAGCCTGAGACCTGAAAAACAGGCTCAGGGCTTAAAAGGTTAAAGTATTGAGGTGACATTTATTTATATTGAGAAACTTAGACTAGGTTACTGATAACATTATTTACATGTTAATAATGTAACATGTAAACAATGTAGCCACATAGTTACATTGTAACTATTTAAAATGTGAATTTTTAATTTTAAATGTCATTTAAAATTGTCATTTAAAATGACAATGTAACTGTCATTTTACACAGTTAAAATGACACAGTCATTTTAACTGAACACATTTTTTAAAGTAACCCTCACAACTCTGCACATCACCACATTGAGCTGCAGGGAGAACACAGGAGAACTAGAATCTTCCAATTCCCTTTGGTGCTTTTCATCAAACTGTCCTTCTGTTATAGCTTTAACAACAGCTTTGTGTTAGAGCCAAGCTGCTGGAGTTTAAACACCGTCTGTCCTGAAGAGATGAACAAACAGATAGTGGGCCTCCAGGGAGGGACCAGGATTATCAGGGCAGTAAAGAACAACTACACACATTAGATCTGACTCCACTGGTATGCATGGATGTGCCACATGCATGAAA